TTGTAGTCCAAGGGACTTGCAGGAGTCTTCTCCAGCACCATAGTTCAAAGGCTCCATTATTTCACGCTCAGCCTTTCTTATGATCCATCCAAGGTCCAAGGTATCTTGTCTAGATTTTCCATAGCTTTTTTCCCCAAGAGCAAGCGTCTTTTAATTTCTTGGCTGCAGTCCCCATCTGCGGTGGTCTTGGAGCTCAGGAAAATAAAATATGTCACTACCTCCATTTCTTCCCCATCTATTTGCCAGGAATTGAGAGGGCCAGATGCCAGGATCTTAGTTTTCTTAATGTTGAGTTAGAAGTCAACCTTTGCACTCTCCTTCTTCATACACATCAAGAGGTCTAAACATACCCTGGGTTAAATCCTTATAAGTTATCTTTTGCTTTACCCACCCCCCAGTTTCAAATTTCTCTCTTTGTCCTTCCCTGACAATCTCTTTATAAATATTGCCCATCAGTTGGATCTTTTCTTTGGAAATAGCACACAGAAGAGACACAAACACCTTGTGATATTTTAAAGGTGAACAAGTGTTTTACGATATACTGTATGTTTTTGTGACTCATTTTGTTCAGATATACATTATTCTGAAAATGCAAGTATTAACCCAGAGATGCCAGTGTTCCTTTCATTGGATGAGGTCAAGCAGAAGCTGAACAACTTTTTCAGTTATCCATTAATTTGGATTTCTGAACGAAACAAGAGATTTGGTGAGGAAACAACCCTTCCAATTCTATGAGCCTATGATTCTAAGTATCATTTATTGTAGAGTTGGGAAGGACAGTGGCAAACAATGAGATCAGAAGGGTATGAAATTGAGCAGGACAAAGAAAGGACAAATTGCAATGATTACTCCATTAGTAATGGCTAATGCAGATGTTCTTGCATTGAAGAGCTGATTAATGCATGTAATGCGATAAAAACCATCCATCCCCAATTAAGCTCCAGAAGACAGATTTGAACCCTAGGATATATGATGCCTCCACACGTTCATGATGAAATCTACCTACTCTGTGCCTTCATTCAAAGATGGGCACCTTACTGACATCTGGAAATCCCTTATGGAATTTTTGCTGAGGAAAGGATGGGGACACTGCAGAGCGCTTGTTAGGAAAGCAAAGCAGGCCACTCCATTGCTGAGTCT